ATCTTTTCCCGATTTTCTCCGACTAATACACTGGAAAGGAAATGAATTGCTAGAAAATTGACGGTTTAATTTTCCTCAACTTAACCTCAAATACATTATTGTAAAATGTAGTCTACAGATTGAAGTATGCACAAATTGAAAGAATAACGTTGGAAAACCTTAATATAGAAAATAACTTTATGAAGCAATGAAAAAACCACAGGATTTCTTGTTAATTTTCAAATTGGTTACATGAACACTTTAAACTTACGACAGTAAAAGATTGAACCATAATTGGAGAGAAAATTTAATATTGCGGAACGAATTGACATTTTTGCAACATGATATTATATGCAAACAAGTTGTAGTATATTTCGCGACGGTCGAACAGCCCCTTTACAGTCCAAAGTAAATTTAAATGGCCAATATTTCATTTTATAAATTTTCTGACAAACATGACACTTGGAGGGAAAAGGGAAGAAGGAGACCAAACATAATTTTCCCTTCGTCGGTGTTGGCTAGGCTTAGCCGCCGGCTCTAGGGTCCTAGACATGGCGTTCTCTCTTGCTCCTACGGGTCGCATAGGCCCCGCGCTTCCACTACCACTCTCAAAACTCCTGTCTCGGGCCTTCCGCTCCCTGTTGTGAGGGTCTCAGTATCGGCTATCGATAATCGGATTAGCATCAATATTTACAGGCCGGCGAGGAAGACTCTCTTTCTATCCCGGGTTGCGGTCTCGTCCCTTTCGGAGCGGCGTTCTCCGTTGCTCTCTCGCGAATCTTATGCCTCCCGACGGCGTTCTCGATTGCAGTCGTTCACCGTCAGGCTTTATCGCCCCCTCCTTCCGCGGCTCGCAAGGCGGATTGTCATTTTACAGCGACCGCGATCAAGTATTTCACAGAGAGAATGGAGGATCAATTCCTCCACGAAAAATATCGTCTCGAATTAACTATGCCATCTAGTCGTAATGTTAATCCTTCGTTGTCCATATATTTTTCGGACACGTAGTTTAATGACTTGTATTTGTATTTATAATGCAAGTAAACAATTTAATTTCATCAGTTTTTGCGGTTGCAGCTGTTTCGAGTTACGCGTGTTGTTAACACGTTAGACGCGACGCCGAGTTTACATGCGACTTTTCTCTCAATGTCCAATTCCCGCAACCGGAATATATTTTCCGCGAATCAATAATATTGTATTCTCCTTGTGTACTCTGATTTTTGTTTAATTCTGAAAAGAGGAATATACTTCTGCTTTGTTTGATTCCTCCTAGTCCGGTAAAAAATATCGGTATTAAATTGTTTCGTATTCCGCTCAGAGGAATACATTATAGGAATGCCTGATTCCTTCCAGTTCATTTAAAAAATATGTGCATTTACTTGCCTTGAATCCTTTTTTTGGAATATAAANACAAAAAATATCGGTATTAAATTGTTTCGTATTGCGTTCAGAGGAATACATTATAGGAATGCCTGATTCCTTCCAGTTCATTTAAAAAATATGTGCATTTACTTGCCTTGAATCCTTTTTTTGGAATATAAATTTGTAACTTCTAATTTAAATCAATTCCATTTTATATGCCCTAGAGATTAAGTAGTTGAATTCCAATATTTGAGATTGGGTTCATGTGTATTGTATTCTTCTGAATTCCAAACATAAATTTCATTAAACTTCATGCATATTGAAAAGTAATAATTAAATAAACATAACATTTCACATTTTTATATATGAAAGTGAGGAGAAGGTATCATTGGAAAGAATTGTAAAAAATTGCCATTGTAACTTACGCATTAATCAGTTACGCCTGTAATGTCATTATACGGAAAAAAAAAATAATTTGATTATAATTACTATAGCGACATGGTTAAAATACTGTGGTAAATGAAACCGCACGAATGGTGAAATTGACCACATAGAATAATAAACGTAACCTTGTCTATGTCCATGGCGCTGCGCTTAAAAGGTGCAGAAGTGATTAACACTTAAAATGGTAATATTAACTATATGAAGAGGTTATAATAACTACAATAAGATAGAATGTTTATCTGGTAGCTGTAACCACAATTATAGTAAGATTTTACATATTGCAAGGTCACTCTAAACTTGCTTATGTAATTGCGGCAACAATGGTTTGGAACCATTAGATTCGACAGAACCACCACCCGGTAAAAAGGCTTGAATACAATAGGATTCAATGTCTCATAGTTTCAACGTAAAAGTGATGATTTTTCTATTCTATTTAATACTTGATTTTTCTCTCCAGGTCCAATTCCCACAACAGGAATATATTTTCTGTGAATCAATTATAATCTATTCTCCTTTTGTATTCTGATTTTTGTGCAATTCCGAAAAGAGGAATATATTTCTGCTTTGTTTAATTCCTTCTAGTCCGGTAAGAAATGTCGATATTAAATTGTTTCGTATTCCGTTCACAGAAATACATTATAGGAATGCCTAATTCCTTCCAATTCCTTTAAAGAATTTGTATATTTAATTGCCTTGAATTCTTTTTTTGGAATATAAGTTTATAAGTTCAAATTTAAATCAATTCCACTTTATATACCCGAGAGATTAAGTAGTTGAATTCCAATATTTGAGATTGGTTTCAAATGTATTGTTTTCTCCTGAATTCCAAATATAAATTTGATTAAACCTCATGCATTTTAAAAAGTATTTACTAAATAAACATGAAATTTCACATTTTTTATGTGGGAAAGTGAGGAGAAGGTATCATTGGAAAGAATTGTAAAAAATTGCCATTGTAATTTACGCAATAATTAGTTACGCCTTTAATGTCAATACACGGAAAGAAATAATTTTATTATAATTACTATAGCGACATGGTCAAAGTACTGTGGTAAATGAAACCGCACAAATAGTGAAATTGACCACATAAAATGATAAACGTAACCTTGCCAATAGGTACTGTGTCCATGGCGCTGGGCTTAAAAGGTGCAGTAGTAATCAATATTTCAAATGGTAATATTAACTTTATGAACAGCTTATAATAACTATAATAAGATACAAGGTTTATCTGGTAGCTGTAACCACAATTATGGTAAGACTTTACATATTGCAAGGTTACTCTAAACTTGCTTATGTAATTACGGAAACAATGGTTTGGCACCATTAGTTTCGACAGAACCACCAGATGGCCAAACTTCTCACAGGCGATGCAGACAGTTCGTTTGCATATAAGACCTGTTATTATTCCTTGCATTTATGTTATAATGACCCTACCCCTTCTCGAAGGAGAGGGAAAAGGGAAGTTATCATCGAGAAAGCATCCCTTTGAGCATAAAATATTATTTTACTACTTAAGGTAGAAATATATGAGGATACTGACAGGAACTTAAGTATAACGTACGTAATCATAAAAATCGAATTTTTTTCGTTTTTTTCTTTTTTTCCGTGGAAATAAAAAATTTGTTTCAATTCCACAAGGAGTATTGAGATTCATATTCCTTTGCCTATTCCAATTCTCGTATTTTTGAATTCCTTCGAATCTCATTCCCCTCTATTTTTCAGAGTGAATTGATAGGAATTAGATTTTGCTTTTTTCTTTTATCGCCAATGGAATGAAGGGCAATGGAAAAATCAGGTATTCAGTGGAATTAAAATTTTTAATTCCAATGAATTCCAGCCTTCTTACCGGGCAGATGGCCAAACTTCTCGCAAGCGATGCAGACAGCTCGTTTGCATATAAGACCTGTTATTATTCCTTACATTTATGTTACAATAACCCTACCCCTTCCTGAAGGAGAGGGAAAAGGGAAGTTATCATCGGGAAACCATCCTTGAAAACACTGACAGAAACATAAGTATAACGTACGTAATCATAAAAATCGAATTGTTTTTCGTTTTTCTCGTTTTTTTCCGCGTAAATAAAAAAATTCGTTTCAATTCCACACATAGAATTGATATTCATATTTCTCTGCTCTATTCCTATTCTCGTATTTTTTAATTCTTTTGAATCCCGTTCCCCTCTATTTTTCAGAGTGAATTGATAGGAATTAGATTTTGCTTTTTTTCTTTTATTGCCAATAGAATAAAGAGCAAAGGAAAAATCAGGTATTCGCTGGAATACAAATTTTCAATTCAAATAAATTCCAGCCTTCTTACCGGGCCGTACGGACCGGCGAGGCCTGAACGGAAAGTCTAGCGCCGATCCCTAGGGAACAACGTAGCTTTTAACGTGTTAACTTTTTCGAGAGTTGATTCAGTTGATAGAACAAGTATCATTCTGATCGATTCTTTTTTAATATTCTCATTTCTCTGGAAGTATTTAATTTCTAATAGAAATAGATTCAAAATCTATTTAAAATTGTAAATCCAAAATAGTTTATTGTTCTTATTTCAAATACGAAATAGAAATGGTGTTTTACGTTTTGGATACCTATTTCGAATGAGTTCAATTCATAAATGTTACTCCGATTTGCGTTTATAAAAAACTCGGATAAGAAAAGTCTTTCTTATGTTTGCGGGTGCTCATTTACATGCTCATTTAATGATTTACAGATGTCCGTTTATTCGAGGAATGCGAAAAATGGTGTAGAATGTAAATATATAAGAGAAATGAAATCACGATTTCGTTTCTATGTCCGAACGTTGATGCTTCGTAAATTTTCCTACGGCATTTAACTGTACATATATTTAGAAATTATTTTTTTAAGCTAAGATAATATTCTAACTTCGGTTCAGGGAATGGAACAATTGAATCGCTGAGAAACTTCTTAACATTTAATAAAACATGTTTTATTATATTATTTTTTAAGTTCTGTAAATTATCATTTAACAAAAACTACGTTAGGTGGGTCAGAGACACTCGGCAATAATACTTAAATAATTTTCATAAATTGTTTTTGTTTATAAATATTTATTTTCTTTAGGAAATCCATTCTGTCCCTCAGGCAATTCAAATTCCGTGCTGCACCCGCCGCTAGTACACTGCGAGGCCGGAGAGGGCAGAGCGGACAGGAGGAAACCATCGACGGAGTTCAGTGTACCCATCTCCTCTGCTACCTCTCTCTGGCAGTGCCTGCTTTCAATTTAATATTCCTTTTTGTAATTTCCTCTTCCTTGAACTGAAGGCAACGGGTAAACATGGCGCCGGTATGTCGAATGTTATTTTTAAATTGTTTTAATCTGGGAGTTTCACGTATTTGTCAGTAAAATATTATTAATGGCTAAATGTTTCAGTTCGTTTCTTTCAGAAATGGATATATTAAAAGTCAATTTGTCAGGATGTCTAAAAACTGCATAGATTACTCGATACGGAAGACTGAGTCGTCTTTTCTGGTTTTCTGACGCTCTTACCATGCGGATAATATTTCGAATGTATAATTGTTATAAATTTCTTTTTTGTTAGGTCCCTGTGAAAAAGAACAAAGGATCGGCAGGTAAAAAGCAACACCTTCGTGGCAAGGGTCAAAAGAAGAAAGGTTCAACTAAGTTTACTATTGATTGTACACATCCTGTTGAAGACAACATCATGGATGTTGCAAACTTTGTGAGTATATCACTTTTATTCTCATTTCTTTCTTAATTTTTTCATAACAAGTATTGTTTAATTGTGTTATTATTTAAGTCTTTTGAATGGTATTTATTAGATTTTTTTAAAAATACATTCATATTAATCCTTTGCACTCGAGACCTTTTTCACCTGGACAAATCAACAACTCAAGACGATTTTTGGTGAATTTTTTACAGCTAACTTGAAATTATCGATAACTTGAAATGAATACAAATTAACGTATAATGCTATTATATTTTAATATTTACCAAATAGTACTCGAGAGACACCTCTCGAGTGCAAAGGGTTAATTTCAAAATAATTCCCTGAAACATGCTTGATTTGCTTAGTTGAACATAAATTATATTGCGTAATATTATTATGAATTTTTATGGCGTTGGCAAGTTTTTAATTTTTTTTCATTACAGGAGAAGTACCTTCAGGAACGTATCAAAGTAAATGGCAAGACAAACAATTTTGGTAACAACGTTACTTTGGAGCGGAATAAGATGAAACTTTCCGTGAACAGCGATGTTGACTTTTCCAAGCGGTGGGTTTCCATTGTCTTTATTGTTTAATGTGTGATTTTCTCTAGCAGCGAGAAAATCTGTATGTATGATAAAATGAGTAATAATATTTTTCAAAGTGCGGAAGAATAGTGTTGTTAAAAATATCTTAATGATTCTGAAGTTCATTTAACAATTATAGCTTTTTATAAGATCGATATTTGCACTGATTTGATTAATTTGTTGGAATAGGTATTTAAAGTATTTAACAAAGAAATACCTAAAAAAAAATAAGCTTCGTGACTGGTTGCGAGTTGTCTCTAAGGACAAGGAAACCTATGAACTACGATACTTCCAAATCAATAGCCAAGACGACGACGATGAAGAAGATGCAGAGTAAATGGTTTTTCACTTATCACAATAATTTTGAATAAGTGTACATAATTGACTTAAATAAATGTCACAAAAATGACTTCAATTTTATTAAATTTATTTTAATTTTCATAATAAAATATTGAATAACCATACCATGTAATTTTCACATACTGTTTATACCTGTGTTAAAAATAGCATAGAAATGGTGGTAACAATTCTTGATTTATCAACCATATAAACTTAATAGAATTTTCGGAATGATCACCCTACCTCGTTGATATTTTGAAAACCAATAAAATATTGAGATTATGCGGAATCATGCCGGAAATTAATTGCAACGTGTAATATACGGTGTTGCCGCGTCTCCGAATACTCAGTTTTATTTTCATCCGCCATGTTGGACTTCCTTGCAGTCAAGTCATCGTTACCGAAGCTTGGCGTCAACTTATTGAAAACGAATAACATTGTTTGTCTTATATTTATTAAAAAATTAAGTACTGACGACCAAGGATACCACTTAGCGTATAGTGCCGTAGGAAGTCATCTAGTATCAGAGTTGAATAGGGACTAGTTTCAAGGGCGTAGTACTAGGTATGGGCCGCGAATCGACGCAATGAATAGGGAGAGCGCAACGGTTGGGGGGTTGCGGCAGACTGACGCACGGCACGGCACGACACGGCGGTAGACGCGCACGGCGATTGTTGTGACAGCAATTTTCAGCAGCTGCTTGGTTCCGCTCTGGCGTATTGCGAATACTGATTAATTTGGCCGAGTGAAAAGAACAAGCTTTCCCTTTGAAGCCCGCTTGCGTCGCAACGCATCGGCTGAACATGAAGTTCCAGTACAAGGAGGAGCATTCCTTCGAGAAAAGGAAGGCCGAGGGCGAGAAGATCCGACGGAAATATCCGGATCGCGTGCCTGTGAGTAGGCTCATGTCCCTTTCGGCTGCGATTTCGATTACATAAATACCGATCGGCTAAGATCGTGGATTCCGATGAGTGCACGCACATATCCCGGGACCTTTGGTAACCGGAGGCCAACGTGAATGCACTTTTCACGTTAATCTCCGTCCAAGGTTGTTCTGTCTCGGCTTCTGCGTCGCAGAAACTCGTTCGAATTTTCAAGGGTCTGCGATAGTCCGTAGAAGCCCATGAGAGCTTGTAGGAAACTAGGAAACGCCAAGATCGTTTGATTCCTGAAGATTATCGATTTTGTAAAACCCTAATTAGTACATGTTGGCGTTTGACACTTTAGTGAAATTTTCTTGACCCCTCCCACGCAAGCATCACAAAATTCGGAGGAAATCGAAGGTCCCAAAAGAAAGGTACATAAATTCGCGGTATGGTGCCATCAGCAAAGGAAGAAGAGCGCGGACTCGATGACTTCGCGAAAAGAGCTTCCGAGAGTGCAATTGCTCGACCGTTGTCTGGGAATTGATAATGAATTATGCAGTCGAAGAATTCAACCAATTCCCAATTTGAGCAATAATTTTTCTTGTAATTTTCGATTTCTAGATACGATTCTGCCATTAACAGAGAACCTTTTGATCACAGAATATCATTTGGTAATTTCAGGTACATTTTTTGCATCTATTTAATATGAAACCATTTTTATAGGTTATTGTCGAAAAGGCACCAAAGGCTAAGATCAGCGATTTAGACAAACAAAAGTACCTTGTCCCATCAGATCTGACCGTTGGCCAGTTTTACTTTTTGATCCGCAAACGCATTCATCTCAGACCTGAGGATGCTCTCTTTTTCTTTGTCAATAATATCATTCCACCTACGAGTGCTACTATGGGTTCGTTATATCAGGTAAATAAGTTATTAACTTCCAGTATTCTTACGTGCTTGTTTTTATTTTAATTATAATGAGATTGAGTATGTCATTGCATGAAATACATTACCTCTGTTATTTTTAAATGTGTTTATTTTGTACCTCAAAATAATATTTTTTAACACGTTAAGCACTGAATCGATTTTGCTGAGCTTTCTGTTTAGGCAGCACAATTTTTATATATAGGATTCTTGATACCGAGTTAGTCTCCAGGGACTGACCCTGGTTAGACGGAAAGTTCACTGTTGGTTCCCAGGGACTGGCGCCACGCTTAACGTGTTAATCAATCGTGTACCTTTTAATAATTTATTTGATATTTTACATATTATAAATTTATATTCCCTGCTGATTACCAATGTTGTTAAATAATGTTTTAATGTTTTTGATTTGATTAAGTGTGAAGGTTTATAGAAACTGAAGTTTTTTATTTGTAGGAACATCACGAGGAAGACTTCTTTCTTTATATAGCATACAGTGATGAGAATGTCTATGGAAATTAAAACATCCATTGAAATGAAGAACCAGAAAAATGAAGATACGTTGCGATATGAAAGTTTCGACATTATGAAAAATCACAAAATGTGCGATGTAGTCTATTTAACGTGCTTTTCAAAAACGAAGTAGGACGACCAAAGAAACAAAGAATATACTCTACTCGATAACTTTTTGTGACAACATTCGAGATCCTTAAAAGCCTCGTTTTGCTTTGGGCCACCAATGGATGGAAGAAACATCTTAGCTGCTTGTCCAATTTGTTGAAATTGGTGAACAATAATCAGATCAGCTCAACATGCTACTAAAATTCAGTCTTTTCATAGGAAGAAATTAGTTGTATACATTGACCGAGAACGTACGGGGTAAAAGAAAGAAAATAGCAATTATTTCGTAGAATTATTAACACTATTACTATTAATCTTTTTACTCGGGTTCCTTTCCGTGTATAGAAAATCTATAAACAGGCGTATGAATGAATTGCAATTGGCTAAATACTGCTTGCTGAACTTTGTAAGACAGTGAGAAAGCATCGCTGTTGGGAATGTGAACGTTGTGATATGATTTAATTGTTTTTTAGGCTTAGTATCGTCCGCATCGTATTGTCCATTTCAATGGAAAAGGTAGTTTGGAGGATCAGACGATAACGAATCTATAGTATATTGTACAGTGGTGAGAGGGATGGACAGAAAGCGAGAAAAAAATTCTCTGTAATGGCAAAATGTGGGCCAATAAAAAAAGATTAAAATCGATTGGGAAGAACGCGATTCCTCGTCCATTTTAAAGTTTATTCCACTAGATTTTTTTGCGGAAAGAGATTGACATCACATTGCTCCCATGACCGTATAAATATGTCACTTTAATTTGATCACTGGCTTAGAACATGGATTGGATTGTTGGATTGAACCTGTGGATCAACCAGTACCCTGAATAGAGTAGGTTTCGTTAATTTTTTATTTGTTTTCCTTCAGTCCTTCGCTTGCGATCGAAGCAACCTCGTCTTTCTTTCGAGAGCGTTCTTTCAGTCAGAATTTACTTGTACTAATAGTTCGAAAATGCGATAAAAATATACAGTGGAGATATGAACACTACCAGCCTCGAAAACAGAACCAGGTATGTTAATTCAGCCTTCAACCTCGTTCCAGAAGACAGCAATTGGATCATAACGAATTCCTTTATTATCTTCACAATGCAAACTGGTATGATACTTTCAACGAATGTTCACTTTACCGTGCACATTAAAATTTAATTGATTCCTTCAAATCTCAATTCTTCCAAAACTACTGAACAGGTTTTGGAATGTTGGAATCAGGTTGTGTTTCGCTTAAAAATGAAGTCAACATAATGATGAAAAACGTAGTAGACATTGTTCTTGGTGGTCTAACTTACTGGATATTTGGATTTGGTATGAGTATCGGAAGAGATGAGCCTAAAAATCCCTTTATTGGAATTAGTGGGTATTTGATAGATCCTTCGGTTGAGGACGAATTAATGGGACCTATCTGTGCAGCTTTTATTTTCCAATTAAGCTTTGCTACTACTTCGACAACAATAGTCAGTGGTGCGATGGCTGAACGGTAAACATACTGTAGAAAAAAATTAGAAAAGAAACGATTGCTCCGTTTCATTGATTTCCGTGACTTTGCAGATGCAACTTTAAAGCTTATTGCTTGTTTTCTTCGCTCAACACGATCGTGTATTGTATACCGGCTGGATGGGTATGGGGAGACCATGGTTTTCTCAAAAGTATGGGTGCTGTTGACATAGCTGGTTCTGGCACAGTGCACCTCGTCGGTGGAGTTTCCGGTAAAATCTGTCCTGGGACTGACCATTTATTTTTGGTGATATATCGCAGAATCAATTTTGTTCTTCAGCTTTAGCCTGCGCTATGATGCTCGGACCAAGATTGGGAAGATACGATAATGGCATCGATCCTTTACCGATGGGTTGTCCGGTGAATGCCATCATGGGTCTGTTTGTTCTTTGGTAAGATTTTATCAAAACGTACATATGCCCGAAAAGTTTCAAAATGATAAAAATAAATATTCGGTAAAATGTAAGGTGGGGTTGGCTGGCTTTCAATAGTGGGAGTACTTATGGCATCAGTGGCCGGAAGTGGACCTATGCCGCAAGAGCTGCGGTTTCAACGATGATGGGTAGTGTGGGTGGTGGTTTGGTTGGCCTTGGTTTCAGCCTGACTAATCCTAAAGGAATAGACATTCTTAGTCAAATCAACGGAATTCTCGGGGCGCTCGTGTCGGTCACAGGTATTTTTTGGGAGCATGTAAGAAAATTAAGTAATTTGATCTCGGTCTCATTTTAGAGTAGTTATTAAGTGGGGATTCTCTTGTAAAATTAAAAAAACTGATTTTCTTTTTTCTTCATACATCGAAAGTACATCTTTGAAGTATGCACACGCAATTTTAAAATCGAAATAATAATGTAAGTTACAGCCAATTTAGTGCGACGCGTCAGATGAAGAAATTCGGTAGAGTGTCGAGCGAAAAACCCGTAGCGTTGAAAGATGCGAGAATCGCGACCTGTGCGTTAAATTTGAGCGAAACGTTACAGATCAAGAAAGACATTACAGATCAAGAAAGTAGAGTTTCGAGCCAAACACAGTTTTCAACGAGAAATTCGTAGCGTTGAGAGGTGCGAGAAGCGCGCCTTGTGTGTTGAGTTCGAACGAGACGCTACAGAGTTATACAGGCTTTAATAGAACTCGTAGTCACGGTTTACACAGTTCTATCCTTGTTGAAAAAGGAGTCGAAAAGTCCTGCACCATTTTTTCCTACAATAGATAAATTTCCTGTAATAACTAATTGAAGCACAGCCAATCAATCACGCCCCCCAACAGAGGACGCCGGAGGCGGTTGCTACGCCGCATACAGCCGAACGGAGCCCTATGGGCGTTCTTTACGCCATGCCTTTTGTTCGGGAACGCGATTGTCTGGCTGTGCTTCAATTAGTTATTAGAGGAAATTTATGCACGTTACGAAAAAATGGAACGGAACTTTTCGACTCCTTTTGCAACAAGGATAGCGCTGTATAAACCGTGGCTACGAGTTCTGTTACACTCTGTATACAGTAAGGATCGCGATTTCTGCCTTCAAAATACTTCGACAGCCTTAAAATTATTAAACAAGCAAAATCCAAATCATTAACTTAACCAAAATTTAGGATACAAAATAAAAACACTTGTGAAAAATAACAAAAATTATGACACCAAAATTATTTAATTTGGTGCAAAAAAAAATTCAAAATGGCAGCAGACTTTGCATAACATGAAAATCACTTATTTCTTAGAAAATAATTATTTCCTGTCACTAGCATTCACAATATAAGACGAAACGAAGTTAAAACATCAACTACAGAAACATAGATAGTTTTATCATGTATAATACGTTACCTTACAAATGAATTCTCTAGGTATGTATCTAGTATTTGATTGGTAGCAATGCACAGCGTTGTCAAATCTCGCGTAAAATGTATCGGCTCGTCGAGACCATCGCTTGCATCGACAAGTCTCGATAAACTGCAAGTACAGAATCGCACCGAGTCGCTGGTGTCGTTCGCGCAAGCGACAACTGTCGGTAGTTACCGATATCGATACGTACCGACAGCGAAGTACAGAATCTCGCTACAGGAGTGCGCAGTGAAGTAATTTGCGAATGTGAATGTGTATATTTTTTGTCAACCAACTGTCAAGAACTTACCGCGCATGCGACCAGCACAGAAGCGTTGACTCGATTACTATGGTTCTCTTTCTCTCACCGTTCTGCGAGCGGCACTCAATGAGCGGTCCATATATTATACGTCCATGACCATGGGCCCCGAGAAACAAAAAGCCGGGCCAAAAAGCGAAGATATTTTATTCGCATCCGAGATCTTCAAGGATTTACTCAATTCTCGTAATTATAACAACTGCAATTCGCAACAAAAGGAACGGTCTACTCTACATTCACAATTTATTCGCAATTCTGCACCTCGGAACGAACGCTTCAGCGCTCCACGGGCGCAATGGATTAGTGAACACCTCCGACGAACCAGTGTTCTCGCGATCGGCCTGCGCGGCCGTCGCGACAATTGTTCGACCGCGTTGCACTTTGGCACTTCGGAGTTTTTTTTCTTTTTGGACGGGAGGCGTGTTCGCATCACTCGCGTCGCGATCCGCGGGGGGGGGGCGCACCCCTAACGGCGGTCCGCTTCCCCCTTCACGGCCCGAAGAGGTCATGGGGGCGACGGGCGAGCTTGGCGGACCGGGGGGGGGGGGGTACTTCGGCGGTCCGCTAGGCCGGCTGCACCCGGCGGGGGACCGCGGGGACGGGGCGGCGGCTCGTCGGTGGCCGCGCCAAGATCCCCCCGGGAGCAGGAACGCTCAGAGCGGTCCGGGCGGTGAGCTCCGGGATCCCCGAGCCCCCCCCGGGGGGGGGGGGCAAGGCGAGACCCGGACGGGCCTCGGACCGTCGGTGGGGGATCAACGACCGTGCGACCGGTGGGGTCGGCGGCGAGGTCGGTCTAGAGTTCTAAATCCAGTAAGTTACGTTAGAAACGAAGAGAAATTCCCGGTAACTTATCGGTAATTTCTCCAAAGACTTTTTTATCGAGAAATTTTGAGAATTTGAATTTTCCAACAGATCGAACGAGAGGTTTCGATTAGCTATAGAGAAACATCGTAGAGGGGAATTTCCGTTGTACGTTCTCCGTAGCCAATCAAAACCTTCCATTCGCTTCGTCGCAGAATGGAAGTTCATTTGAAACAAATCGCATGGAATTTTCCGTGAAGTTGTAGATACGTGAATATATTTAGCTGGAGGTAAATACGACCCTATAATCAATATTTTCTAATAGTAATTATTACTCTATAGCTTGAACTTTGAAGTTGATTGAAAAGAAAAAGTTATTTAAACGAAGAAACCTAAAGCATAAATAACAAAATTAACGTTCTCTTAAATTCTCAATGTTCCCGGTAACTTACGGTATGTTTCACAGTTACCTTCTCCAATTTAATGTTACCGAGAATTTTCTAACTCTAGGTCGGCCTGAGGGGCGGTCTGCACACGTGGCGAAATATCTGTGCGACCAGCAGGTCGAGGGCCCGATGGCGGGCCACTGGGTGTGCGAAGACCGTCCGCGGCGGCCTCAGAAAACCACCCCACGGCCTCGGCCCGGGTGAGCAGCCGGTTGGGGTCCCCGTAGGCTGGAGGATTGTTGGTGGAGGTTGCGGTGACCGGATCTCCGGCGTATCCTGTGGGACCTTCGGTGGCGACGGGACCGTCGGCCGGGGCTGTGGAGGCGGCGGGGGCGGGAGCCGGCGCGAGAGGGTTGGCCTCCCTGGTCCTCGCGATGGCGCGCCTCCGGGCGCGCCCTCGTGCGGTCTGACGCCCTCCCTGTCTGTGGCGCGGGGGCACGCGCTCCGGTGAGGGCTGCGTGGGCTTCGTGGTGTTCCGGGCCGCGGGGTTGAATGCTGCGTGCGGGCGCCCGCGAGGCGGCGCGCGAGGGCCCGTCGCGGCGCGTGGGGCCACGGTACGGTGCGCGGGTGGATCCCAGGGCAGGCGGCGGAGGAGGTGATCCGCGAGGTGGAGCGCCGGGGCGTTCTGCGAGGGCGCGGCGCGTCCCGTGAAGAAGCGGGGATTTCCGCGGTGCGGAGCGCATCCTGCAGCGGATGCCTCGAGGCGCAGGCGGGCTGTGGGGCTCGCTTGCACCGAGGGTGGGGACGAAGAGAAAAACTCGTGTTTTTTAGCGGTGGAAAAGTGTGGTATATTGTAGAGCCTCCGGCCGTGCGCGACGGTCCGGGTGCAATGAGACTGACTTTTGGGACCCGGTGGACCCGTATTTATACTGAAATTGTCCTTATGCTATCTTACTCTAACGCCGTCCCTTAAGGGGACCTTCTTGTCTAAAACACTTATTGGCGAGGCTACGCCGGGTTTTCTCGTTCAAAGTGGCGCGCCCCGCAGGATTTTTCCGGGGCGACGTGGAGGCGCCGGGACCGGAGTCCCGGCGTCGCCACGGCCCCGGTTTCGCCTCACCGCCCGATTAATCCTGCGGCTGCCTGGCTCTCGCAGAATCGAAGGATGATAGGGGATGGGGTGCGGAATGTCAGAGGGGAGGGAAGGGGTAGCGCCGAAACCCGATCCGGGCCCCCACGTGCCCCCCCTCCCCCGGGCCGTGGTTGGGGTTGGCCGGGGGGGGGGGGAGAAGGTGGGGGCCTCGCGTCCGATCGCGGGGTTCGAACCGCGCGAGACGCGAATCCCGCGATCGGGGAGCCTTCCCGAATTACCTATTTTTTCCGGGTGATTATACCCTTGCGCGAGGTGTGCGCCAGGCGAGCAGGCCTGGCGCGCCGGCGCATGGGTCAAGGGGGACACGTGCGCCGGTTGATGGCCTCGGGGCGCTCAACCCGCCAGCGGAGGCCGGGCAGGCCCCGAGGGTGAGAGCGGCCGGATGGGACTCGGCAATGGGAGCGAGGGAGAGGGAGCGAGGGTAGGGCCCGGCGACGGGACCCCCGGCGCACCCGAATGAGCACCGCGGCTGTACCCGTTGGATCGGGGTGCAGCACACGGCGTCTTCGGGGCACTTGAGGTCGTCGCACGGGGGAAAGGAATTTTTAGGGCTTTTGGGAAACGTTCCGCGAGGGTCGGCGATGCAAGCGTGCAACAAGAGGAAGTCACACTGGTATCTACGTAAAGATACCTATGGCACGGAAAAGTTTTTAGCAGTCTCAAAATCGTTGTTTTGTTAACATCATCGTCGTAGGCTCAGTCACTGACTAACATTTGTGCACTCTCATGATAGGTCAACGTTCATACGAATTTTCGAACGATATTTTGCTGAATATTGAGGGCTGCTGCCCTCACGGGGTGCACCAGAACTACTGCGCTCAGCGCTTCCTAACTTCTTCAGATTTCGGTGTAAGTGCTACATCATCAGGAATTTTTCAAATGCAGTCCTAGCTGTCAAATTGGAATAAAATTCACTTCAAAAGTTAGAGGTAACCCTTCCGGTATCGGCTTTAATGTTCTGGACCGAAATTTCTTTTACGATTCTCGATTCCCAATTCATGAAAAATGAGGAGTGTTGATCGAATAGTGATTAACAAAGCGTAAAATAGAAATTGTATCATATAATCTAGCACAAACATGTTCTTAGATGGAAGTGAAAAAGAAAACTGATCTGATTCATCGGCAAACTTATTATATAAGTATAATATTTCTTATAAAGCAAAAAATGAAATGTTAAGTTTTACAACATTAATTTTTGTGAGATTTATTTATTACGGATGGAGCATATAATGGTACTGGCACCTAAGTGAGGGGTCGAAATCCAAACAGACTGAGACGCAGCATAAGTGTATCGTAGAATGTGCTACAAAAGTTGAAAATGAAGTAAATGAGAACCATGTATAATTCACTAATACATGTCATTGATATTACATATTCTAACATCTGCATGTATTGTAATGGTCTGCACTTAGTCCAAGCCTCTGCAACGGAATAATTGCACCTTTCGAGGGTTCGAGCCCGCCGATTCCTGAGACTTTTGAGTTAATTTAACTTTAATTTTCCGAAGATTTGAGACTGGCGAGAGAGCAAGGAGAGTGTTTCGCAAACGATCGGCTGAGCGTGTCAATATTTGGAGAC